AGTGTATCAGTGTAATTTGTTTGTACGACAGAGGTCATGAAGATCCGATGAACTCTCGACTACTATCTGTGTATCTATCTATATCTATCTATCTATCTATCTATCTATCTATCTATCTATCTATCTATCTATCTATCTATCTATCTATCTATCTATCTATCTATCTATCTATCTATCTATCTATCTATCTATCTATCTAGCTATCTATTTATCTATCTATCTATCTATCTATTTATCTATCCAGGGGCGTAGCCAATGGGGGTTCGGGGGGTTCGGACGAAGCCCCCCCCCCGAGTTCCGCTCAAATCTATACTAATTTGTTAACCCTATTTCGAATTCCAAATACCGGTGGTGGTTAAGACAAATGACCAAAATTAGCAACAATGAAAAGTTCCGTCGATCCTTATTATCGATTTCTTCGCAGCATTATGCAGCACACATTCATTCACAGTGCAGTAGCAATATTATTATTTTACTGGGTGGATACAAACATGTACGTACACAAGTCCAGTTCGGATGACAAACTCTGCATAATTAAAACAAAGGTCAGCTGATCACAGACAGTGAACAAACCACATGAGGCGTGGGTAGGACTAGTTAATTTAGCATTGTGCAAAGTTTTTTTTTTTTAATTTGTCTTTTAATATTAACTCCTGATATATATGTCTGTCTCTCTGTCCGTCCGTCCATCCATCCATGGGTGCTATTCTAGGATAGCGTCAGATTCTTAAAAGAATCCCAGGGACCACTTATTGGTCTAACTGATCTGTTATTGGTCTAGTGGTAACACTGAGCTACACATCACGACACGGTTTGAGTTTGTTCTGGATACATACAATGAGTTGCCCCGCATCCTCTACGTCTCTGCACGTATGCACATGAGTATTCGTGTTTGTGGGACATGAAACGAAAACGCGTACAAATACAGGTGACACATTTCGGTAAAATTACAACGATGATTTAGCTATGATTATAATATTAGGTAGGCATCCAGTAGGCCTAAACGTTGTCATGTAGGTCATACCCTTTATCTTTTAAAAAAGGAAGCACATTGACACGCTAAGTATTAGGCAAACATTCACTTCGCCGATGTCAATATATCGCTAACAAATCTATGCTCATTGCTTACTTATTAGCTCAATGGTATCGAGTGATAAGCTTGTGAGGTAGGGCAGTGGATCTATGTTTCGTAGAGGCAGTCCAGGCCTCCGCAGTTTCACACATGATGTCTGTATCCCTCAATGCGAATCTTTGCTTGCTTGCTACTTTGCCGTGCCTGCCATCTGGTCACATCGCGGTTGGTCTACTCCCTTTCGTTTACTCCCCTTTCCTCTAATATTAGAATGGTTAATAGTGCAATTTCGTCTACTTTCATCAACCAGACTTACCTAGTCAGTTTTTGGTCTATTTTTTTCTAACAGCTAGACGTGTGTGTGGGCGGGCGGGCGGCCGGACGTGCATGCGTGCGTGCCTACGTGTGAGTGCATGTGCATCAGGAGTAGATAATAGGGAACCCTATTATAGGGGACCCTATAGATAATATATATATATATATATATATATATATATATATAATATAATAATATATATATATATATAGATAATAGGGGACCCTATTCTCTACTCCTGATGTGCATATATAACCGTTCACGCCGTTTATCGTGTTCTTGCGCAGGACCTGTATTATATGCCCCGAGTACCTACTATATGCCCCACGTATTATATTCCCCGAACCCCCGAGTAAATACATCGCGGGTTATATGCGAGCACAGACTGCTGCATGGCCTGGCATCGGCTCCAATACTGCTACTGCATCGCTTAGTCCCTACATAGCAGGAGTAACGACATACGTGCGTGCGTATACAGCGAGACATGTTTTGCCTTGCCAGCGCGGGAGGAAACATCCATCATTATCCTCCCCGCAGTTCCTTTTAATTTGGAGGTCGGGCGCGCCGCCTGGGTACAGTAGACTAACCCAGCTGCCGAGCAGCCATTACGGAGAATAATTTCGTCAGCATCATTTACTCGCCCGTTGCGACCGTATGGCGGCTCTGCTGATGGCTATCAGATCCCTAGCTATATATCATATTCCGGGAGGTCGGAGAAAACATCAGAGTTATGTCATAACCTATGGTAATAACTATGGTCCCAGTCTATATTTCAAGAATAGTTAGGGCCACTATACTACATCGCTGGGTATGGCTGGCGCGTCTTTTAATTACGTACTCATTCAGCTAGCTAGTTATGCTGGCCCCTATGTACCCGTAGCCTGTGGGGGGCAGCTACCCCCTAGATTTTGGAGCAAAATAAAAAAATTAGTTTAGCTAATAATCGTAAATAGCCCTAACGTGATTTTTTTGGTCACTTACCCGTGAAAGCCTTGGCTCAGACCCACCCCTACCACACTATGGATGTCGATCAAGAGCTGCGCCCGTTGCTCATCTTTACACAGTTGAGTCCAAATTTTGGCCCCCTCCTAGGAATTTGTTCAGCCTACGGCCCTGATGTATGTTGCTTGGGTGACAGCTGTGGGGACTCGTTTGGTTGGGCAAAAACTAGAGCAATGACCAATTAAATGCCTGCTATGTTCCGTGGTCGATGACTAAGGTGCATAATTTCTGGTCACTGAACCAGAGTGAACACAATGTGCTCAAATACAATGCGCGAAATCACAATGTATTTTTTTTCAGCACAACGGCGCTGATTTTTGCTGTGCATAGTGTCGTGTCGTGCCGCGTGTGTGGGCGTGAGTGACTGTGAGGGCATGCTGCAGTGCATGCACGCCTCTCATCGCCATGTCTCCACACACGCGGCACGACATGACTGTGAGGGCATGCTGCAGTGCATGCACGCCTCTCATCGCCATGTCTCCACACACGCGGCACGACACGACACAGCAAAAATCAGCGCCGTTGTGCTGAAAAAAAATACATTGTGATTTCGCGCATTGTGTCTGAGCACATTGTGTTCACTCTGGTTCAGTGATCAGAAATTATGCATTATTATACATTATTATTATGCATTATTATACATGCGCTTGTTGTCCATTGGCTGATGGTAGCGTGAGCAGAACACGTGATAAAAAACAATCGCGTTGATTGGTTCAATTGTCTTTTCGCCGTCACGTCAGCCGGCAAAAGTCATTTGACTTTCGCCGTCGCCGTGAAACCCGGCTGGCGCCGTGCCGTGTCAGTGGAGACTGCGCCATAAGATATAATAGATTTGAACTTTGCCGGTAGGGGTGAACGACGCCGTTTCCGTGGCGTTCCGTGCCGCGGCGCGTGTGTGGAGACGGGCCTTAAGACTTTTCATCTTCATCTTCCCGCGAACGTTGCCGCTGGGCAGCGTTCGCGCACACGTCTGCTAGGAGCGTCGTACGGCTAGATAGCATAACAATGACCAGTCCCATGCACGCACGTACGCACGCACGTGTACGTACACACGCACGCACGCACGCACGTGTACCTGCACACGCACTAACGTGTACCTGCACACGCGCGCACACACGCACACACGCACGCACCTGTACGTGCACACGCACGCAGGCACGTACACACGCACGCATGCACGCAGGTACGCACGTGCACACGCACACACGCACGCACGCATGTACGCACGTGTAAGTGCACACGCACGCACGCACGCACGCACGCACGAACACACGTGTACGTACACACGCACGCACGCACGTGTACTTGCACACGCACGCACGCACGCGCGCACGTGTACGTGCACACGCACACATGCACGCACGTGTACGCACGCACGCACGCACGTGTACGCACGCACGCATGAATGCACGCAGGTGTACGTGCACACGCACGCACGCACGCACGCACGCACGCACGTCTACGTGCACATGCATGCACGGCTAGGCGATTTAGTCGCCCGATTTAGTCGCCCGATTTAATCGCCCGATTCGTCATCTGAATCACTAGCCACGGGATTCGTCTCGTACTGACGCACTGTCTCCCAACCGGCCTCGGACGAATCAGCAATACGAATAAGCTTATTTCTCTGCTTCAACTTTCTGTCAATCTCTGTTACAATCTCTCTGGTATAAGACACTTTGTCGTTGTCACACGCCCACAGGACTTGGGTAACAGAATCTAATGAATCTCCATTAAATACGTACTGAATTCTGTTTCCCGTGTATTTCCAGATCACATACGATTATACATGTTTATAACTATCACAGTATATAGCACACATATAACACATATATCACAAAT